AACATTAAAAACTAACTCAACATTGGAAGTTTACTTCCAATGTGTCTGTCAAAGTTGCACAGTAACTGCCTATTTTCTTTTTTACCACAAAGTTTTCTTTTCTTTTTTTTTTACTAGAACTTTTCAACCTTCTGTGATCTCTTTATAATTCCCCTTAGAATGCATAATTGTGCTCGATCAATTTGTTAGAGGCTTTTGAAGTGTTAAAAAAACTACATTAAAATTATTTTCTTTCAGGTTTTATGTTAATGAACATAGGTGCTATTCAGAGCAAAGTCAGCGTGTCAAGGGAACTTTAGTTAAAGTTATTCATACATAAACTAAAAAAGGAAACATCTTTAGTAGAGGAAAAATACATTTAATGAGTAAGTACGGCACACAATTCCTCCTTTCAGAAATGTCAGCTCACATTGAGCCTCCATTCTAGATATCTTACAATTACTTTGTCAACAGAAGGTAGAGTTGTGATGGATGACACGCTGGTTCTGGAAACCAAACTTTCTGTGAGTTACTTAGGCTGAAACTAAGTGCTTTTCCATCCCACTCTTATTGATGAGAGTGGTTTTATATTTATCACCCTGTCATTTCAGTTGACTGTATCAGGCTCTTCACTGGAAGAATATGGACACTAATGGAGGTGTGTCCTCAGTGCCCTAGAGGGTCACAGATTCATTCCTGAACAAAGTCAGGACACAGACCAGATTGCATGGCAGCTCGCACATAGCTTTACCCGTTTCAAAAAACAGATCGGCAAGGAGTGTCTTAAAAGGCCTTTGGAAATTGTATTCTTATTGGCAGCCTGTTGACCATGACCCATCCTTGTAGCATTGTGCACAGACGTGTTTTGGGCTCACACTAATGGAGTGTTACTATTTTGAAGCCTCTCCTATAATACGAAGAATTCTACCAGGACCTTGGCAAGTCCAGGGCCTGATTGCAACACTTTATTTATAAGAAATTCTGTCAAGAATCAATAATAGTCTTGGGTCTCAAGTTCTTTCTTTAATAATACTTTGATATGATTTGTCACAAGCTAGCCCAGAGTATCCACCAGATTTTATTACTTAGCTTGCAGCATAGTGTCTTATCTTTGAGTCATGAGATCAGCCACAGGGAGACCTTTAAAAAGCTATATTCTTTACTGTTTGGTTATTACAGAAAGTCTATATTACTCAATAATACCTTTTATAGGGTGTGCTGTCACATCTCCACATAGATGTTTAACCCCAATGTAGATATACTGGATGCCTGGAGGCCATTTTAGTGACATGGACATTGTTTTTCATGATTGGACGCCTGATGTATCAATAGCAAGGAGAACAGAAAACAAACACAACTATATGAGGAAATAAGAAAAGAAACTACCACTAGAACAAAAAACCTGCCGACTTATTTTCCCAGGCTGGTGTCTTTGACTAGATCTCATGCTAACCATCCATTTTGATAGAGATTTGGTTTAGAGTCTAGAGTGTTAGGTTTTTATTACCTAAAAGCATTGAAAATTTGGAGAAGTCAATTTAGATGCCTCTCTTTCACACACAATCAGCTCCTTGGGTTTCGCTGTGTACATCTCAATAAACATGACCCTGCGACATCAGAGGCATGCTGTAAAGCAGTGCTGTAAATATGTTTTATACTGCTCAGCCTTCGGAATTCATATTGTTACAGCTAATGCCTGTTGGTAAATGCTTGTATCGTTCCATGTTGTATTTACAAAACTATATATTGTCAGCTGAGAGTTTTCTCTCTCCAATCTGTTTTCCTTTGCAGGGAAATAACAGAAATGTACTGATACACACTATAGGCAAAACACACACACACACATACAGACGCCCCAAAACACACTCACTTGCATATGTACACACAGAGCAAGATTTTAAAATGGTAATCATTTTGAATTTTGAAATTAGAGGAAATGAGGGAGAAACATTCCTTGGGAAGTTATTATTTTAGATCTTTCATCTGTCTCCAAATTGGTGCTAATTTTCTGTGTACATTTAAGAAAATTATTGGTCTATGAACAAACATTTTATTTCAAGTTTTTTGTTGTTGTTGTTGTTTGGTTTGGGTTTGTTCTTGCAGCAGTGGATGCTATTGCTGAAGAGGATTATCCTTAGGGAAGCAGCTCATGTCCCTAGCAGGACCCATTCTGACTTTCTGAGCCCATGGTCTCAGCATGTACTGGGTCACCACTGCTGAGAAGACATCTTGACACCATGAGCTAACCTTGTTGAGCATGAAAAGGGAAGGCAAAACTAAGACAGTGATGTCTGGCTTGGCAGGCTGTTGGGGGGTTTCTCTGTTTCTTCTTGCAAGGCCAGGCATGCTTTCCATTCCAGAGCCTCTGCATGGTTCCCACCACCTTCTTAATCAGGTGCTCTCTTCACATTAGACCTTTGCTGTGCCCAGAGGCTGAGGGCTGATAAGTCTGTTCTCCTACACTGCACATGAACACAGTAAGACTATGCAATAGCGTGCTTGAATTTGACCCTAGAATGTCTGGTTTCCCTGTGGGACCATGCCCAAGAGAAGAAGTAAAGAATCCCATTGCAAAAGGCTTCACTTACTCCTCTTATCTATTCCCACAAGCATCGTGCCCCGTGACACTCTGAGGAAACTCACAGTCAGTGATTAGAGAGGCTGTTGTACTTTGATGAGAGTGTAGGATGCATTAGCAGAAATAAAGAGGCCAGGCTCCAGAATTTACACATTTTGTTTAAAATCATGCCACCCAAATCCCAAAGCCACACTGCTAGCTTCTTCCATGCTAACATGCGTGACTCTTCCTTTAAGATCCCGAAAAGCCTACTCTGTCACTCTCAGGACAGCTTGCAAACCCTTACATGGGTTCCTATACAAAGATCACCCTCTTCCAAGGCTGCCTCTGACAAGCCTGGTACTGTTGAGATACTAGAGACTCAGCAGTGAAACCCATTGCCCAATGTCTCTGTCCTTTCTGTCATTCTTATACATAGATAACGCATTGCTCTTCCATTGTGTAGAATGGAAGTTGTCTGAAAGCTGTCTCCCTCACAAGTCACCTGTTTTCACAGAACTTAGACAACTCAGGTGGGCAGAGAAGAGGAGTTCTCTATTCAACATGGCACCTATTCAAGGATTCCATTGTTAACCCAGGAAGAAGTAGAGAAATTCATGGACAAGTGAAGCATGTGGCCCTTTGTGGTGTTTTACTGATGAGTCAGCTGACCTTGCCTGCCACCCCAATATGAATCTTCCCTAGATTTTGTATTTTAGGGACAGCAGCTTCATTGGCAAGAAAAACATCCTATTGACAATGAAAGATTTTTATGGTCACTGATGCTCACAGGAAACTTCAGAAGACCAAATGGACTTAGCTCATGATTCATTTGGGCATAATTTCAAAGGAAACTCATTCTCAAACTGATGACTCTCTTCCATATATATATCGCACATTTCACTCTCTGCCCATCATTCAGGGAAGAGAATACCAAATCCAACAGGAAATTGACTGCTCTACAGTATAAATAAACTTGGACTTTGCAGGTTGTTTGGCTCTGCTCTCTTTGGTTGGGATTATGAAGGAATAAATCATGCCTGGCATGACAGGGGTGATATGCCATTATGAATCAACATGTTCATATGTCAGATAGAAAATGTTGCTCTTAGCAATTTACATAGAGAACAATGAAGGATTAGGGCACATTAATGAATTAAGTGGCTCTCATAGGTTCTGAAAAGACTTTGGGAAATAAAAATTTCCAGGACAATAAGCAAAAATAAAGAATCCCCTGAGGTTTTTCCAGCAGATTCTTTCATGTACTGTTTGTTCGCTTACCATTTGTTCAGAAGAATCTGAGTATAGCATTCTGGGAAAAAAATTGTGAAGGACTTAGTAGGAAAGTCAGACATTTTTAATCTTTGAGTTGTCACAATTTTGCCTTAGAAGGAATTTAGTATTTCTACCAAGCCCTGGAAGGAAGGCACCACAAGAACACATGTACAAAAGCCATGGAGTTGAGGGAGAGGAGGTTTAACCCAGGAGAATGATCCTAAGTTGCAACAGCCAGAGATTTGTTACTGAAGACCTTGCTTGAATTGCCAAGTTTATTGTTTTGACTCTATAAAATTGTGAGTCAAAGTATAGCACCTGGTTTTGGGTGGGTGCATTCTTCATGTTTTGTAATAAACATCGTACATTTCCAGGTTCCTCGTTGAATAGTCAGCTATGACTAACTGGACTTACTGAATATTCTATTTGAGAGAGGGGAAGTTGTCATGGTTTTTATACAAATACATGTTTTTTTGACATGCATTTCATCTTTGTATTATTTAAACGATGGCAATATTACTGATACCTCCATTTTTGAGGGTTGGAATAGAATGGTAGAAAAAGCCTGTATCACACTAAACACTGAGCTGGCTACCTTAATCTTGTCTAGCTACAGTTGCTTTAGGTTTACTTTTTGTTTGTTCATTTCAATCCTAACTGAAAAAAAATTACCTATTGGGATTAAAAAAATTATGTGCAATGCAATTTACATGTAATGATGCATATCTTGGTTATATTTTAAAATGACATTTGTCCCATTGTTGCTGGCTATACAGAATCTCAGACAAGTTAACTGGTGTTAATAATGAGGGCATTGAAATACAATAAAATGGGAGATCATAGGTGTTGTGTTCAAGTACATCCCTTTCTACTTCTGAATCCCAGGGTTTGAATAATGCTGTATTGCCCTGGGATACAGGAGCAAAATTTAAAGTTCTCTCTACTCTCTGCCCTGCAACTACTCAAGGTGATTGTAGAAGGAAAAGAAAGAAAATAAATAATTCATTAAGGTTTGAGTAAAGAGTGACTTAGCTGATACATTCTTCTCTACTAGTTCTACAAGTGGGAATACCTTACCTGACAGCAATAGAACTTTCTCCAAACCAAAACCAATATAAGAGGACACCCATAATGACTCACAGGTATACTAGGAGCAGAAGAGAATTGAGAGGGGGTGGGAACTGTAAACTTCAAAACCAAAGGTTGTTGTTGGTAACATGAAGATTGAGACTACCTCTCTCAATTCCACACCAGCATAATCCCTGTGTTTAATTTCAGATGTTGGCAGCAGAGTGGAATTTGAAGGATCATTATTCATAGATTAAACAACCACAGTCCTTCAGATAACAGTTGGATGGAATTGTGAAAACTCAACTAGTTACTTTTTATGCTACTGAGATCATTAGTTCGAAGTGGCACAAACTGTGATTTTCCACCAACTCTTTGATGTTTAAAGTGAACAGAAGGACTCAAGTCATCAGACTCTTCAATAGTGAAAAACAAGGAAATCAAAAACCAGAACTTTGGAGTAGGGGAAGAACAAAATTTTCTTTTGCATGTGTGTATATATGTTTCTATCTGTGTGTATATTTATGAGTATGTACAGTGTATATATTGTATATGCATATTCATATGTGGAAGTACAGGTGTGCACATGCCACACTGACATGTGGAGGTGGGAAGACACCACAGATGTCACTCTTCCCTCTCCACCTTGTTTGCCCTGGTTTTCTTGTTGTTGGTTACTGCATATGCCAGGCTAGCTGGCTGTTAAGCTTCTAGAGAGTCTCTGTCTTGGCTTCCTATTTCACTGTAAATGGCTGGGAATACAGACATATGGTGTTATACAGGTTTTATGTAAGTCCTAGAGATTGGAACACAAGTCTTCACGTTTGCATGGTAAATACCTTACTCATGAGCCGTCTCTTTATCCTAGAATAAATAGTTTTAAAGGGTCATCAATGAGTAAACAGAATGCTACCAAAACAAAGAGAGGAAGAACAATGATCCTTGGTATAAGTGACAGCTTCCCAAACTGTGAGTTATAAAATCTAAATGAAAAAAAATGTTCTTAATATTTATCATCCAAAATTACAATGAAAATTTGAGAAGATTCAATGAAAAATACCAGAAAAATTAAAATAGCAAGATAAGAACATAGAAGCTACTTTTTTAATTTGTTGATTAGGACCTCCAAATAAAGTCTAATGTGTATGTGAACAGGCATTCCAGGATGAAAGAACACAGGGGTTTCATGTTAAAGACTGCAAGAAGGTTCTGAAAACTGAAGACTTTCACTTATCTAGCACGATTGAACAATCACACTGGGGTGGATAAAAACGGAGTGCTGGGGAGAAGTATGCAGCGTTAAACCTCTGCAGTTCAACATTACACCCCAGAAGAGTAAAACCGTAAGTCAAAGCCTTAGGATGTGAGATTTCTAAGTTCACATTTTTATCTGGAAAGACTTTATCTCTCTCCAGTGTTAGATCTGTCCTTTCACAGCCCAACTGCTTGTGAAATTATAATGTAGTTTCATACTACTGAGATAGATGTGCTTTTTTTATTTTTAAATAAAGAATTAAATCTTGGCTTAATATTTGTGGGCACAGAGTACCTTCAACACATTTTATAGTTGATTGATATTTTGACTTTATAATCATAAATGATGAGAACATCACTTGGCATAAATATGTAGCATGAAATGACCATTTCAGACTGTTGGAAATTCTGTCCTAATGTAAAACAAAATTCAATAAATGATTTTTAAATGAATTTAAGACAGCATCTCAAACAGTAATTTTTGGCAGGATCTCACTATGCAGCCCTGACTGACATGGAATTCACTGATCAGGCTGGGCTAGAACTCACAGAGATTCATGTGCCTCTGCTTCACAAATGCTGGGATTAAAGGTGTGCACCCAATACCTGTAATCAGTAATTATTAAAATAAAAATTCCAACATAATACAATTCAGAGATCAACTAATTTGATATTTATGTGCTGAGGGATGATGGTAGAATAAATATTGTCTTTGTGTTTTTGTAATGAAATCATTATGTTGCTACAAGATCGGAACTTCACATGTGCAGTAAAAAAAATGTAATTTGTAACATACAATAGTCTTTAATGTGAACTAAGAAGCTTCAGAACTATTTTGTGGCACAGCAGAGTATACAGTGTAAAGTGTACTGCATGGCATAGTGCATGTGTAACCGAGGTTGCAGTGGACGTGTGTGACACAACACCGGTGAGCACTCTCAGAAATACCACCGATTCACTAGCTGTTTGATTTTTCAGACAAGCTTTGGTTTGGGGGCTTTGAGAAAACATACTGATGCCATTGTTTAGGATTCTTCTCTCCTTCCCTTGTGGGATGATGACACACAGCTGGAGAAACTGTGTGCGTGTGTGTGTGTGTGTTGTGTGTGCACATGCACACACATACACAAAAAGAAATACGTATGCTTGCATTCATCACACACACAATGAAAGAAAATAAATGTAAGCGGAGTCAACTGATTTACTTGTGGAGAAAATACGTATGTCTAGCAACAGCATTGCAGATAGGACCTTAAGTCCAAACTGATAAACTGTAAAATGTATAAAAGCATTGCAGAAAGAGAGAGAGAGTGTGTGTGCATCTATATGTGTAAAAGCTAGAATCCTAGTCCTCCGTTATCAGAAATCGATGGTGCTTAAAACTGATAAGTCACAGTAGAGGCGGGTGGTAGCAGATGCACTGGAGAGTTTGGAAATGTGCTTTCCCTTGCTCTGTAAGCTGAGAGTATAGGCAGAGAGACAAGGTTTTCTTCTTGCTTGTTTTCATACGGAGTCATTTTACAAATGTTTGACACTTTAAACTATGTGGTCATATCGCCCTGTTTTTTTTTTTTTTTAAGTTTGTTTTAAAAAATGTTTATCAGTACTGCTTGGCCACCCCTTTCTACTAGCCCCACCCCAGCTTTGTGATGCTACAGGGTTCTATACCCAAACTGCCCTGAAGTAATCCAGAGCAGGCTAAATCAGCGCTGCACATACTCGTGTTTCCTGGAAAGTTAAAAATGCATCTTCCTTGGGCTGCTGCCGTTTTCAATTCTGAGTACAAGGACGACATGTTATATAACTCAGGGTTTCAACAAACACCTGGAAATCAGGCAGTGTGTGTCGCTCAGATGAGACCAGACATGAAGAGATTGGTAGTGACAAGTGTTGTCTCTTCTCACTCTGACAGCAGGCAAGTGGCAAGCTGTATATACAAGGCCTGATACCACACTCTCAGGATCGGAGAAGAAAAGAAAGGAAGAAAGAAAAGCAAGTGAAAAATAATGCTTCAGCAAGAGCTATCTGGAAAACTAACGGCAAATTACACACAATTTAGCTTTACTCACAGCTTTCATAAAGACCCAAGAACTATGAACTGAGCAGTTGAGCCCCAATTAAGTCTCTTCTTGATCATCTGCAGGGCAAACCCAATTCTCAGACTGCTTTTTTAAAGGGCATCATATCAGCCTCGAATTCAACTGTTCTTTTTCCTGTCTTTTTTTAAAATTTTTCATTTTTTTCCTGAATAAAAGGGAGATTAATGTGAGCCATTAAGAATTAAAAAACAATCACACAATGAAAAGATAGTTCAGATGAATTTTAATTAGAGCCCAATGTAATGGGATTTGAACTCAGCACACCGGAAATACATAGCAAGAACTTTAGCCATTAAATTTCATGGCTGTTGATTAAACTCAATGGGAATTTAGAAAGATTATTTTGGCTTCCTGAAGATACCATGTTTTTTCCATTAATGTCAGAGAAATACATTGAGGGACTGAAATATTACTAATAAAAATAAATGTGAAGGTTGTAAATTTCAAACAATGGAAGCGCAGAGTTCATACCTGGATTTCTAAGTGAGTATGTGGCATTTCATTAAAATTAAAGCTCAAAACGCACTGTATTATGTGTGACCTCTTTAGAAAAGGAACCTAAATGTTTCTATGATTTGTCATCCTTTGGAATATAACAACAGTTAACTAGAGACCATGAAATGGCCTGTTGTAGGCTGAGAGACAATCGTGGAAGTATTCCAGCCCAGGAATCAGATGCGAGGCATCACACACTTTCCAGCATCCTTGGTCACTCCACTGCCTCCCCATGGTTTGCTTTTCGTCCATAAAATGGAGACAGTGGAATGTACCAATTTGAATCAGAGACAACGACTAAGCTAGTTAACTGAAATCAATGCATCCATCAAACTTTTCTCAAAATGGTGAGGGGTGTTAAAAGTGAGGCTGAATCCCTGAGAGGATTTGACTGTACTTTCTCCCCAGTAAGTGACTCCATGCTGAACCACTAGACCACATGGCCTTGAGAGATACCCCCATCTTTCATAAAAGCTCAGTCAGCCACTGGAGGGAGCCAGCAGGACTCTCACAGTGTAACTGAATATGATCAACCAGTAGGGAAAGATAATTTTAAAATGGCATGTAAAGATGACAGAACTTGAACAAAATCCCTTTTATTTATTTATGCCAAAATCTGTGTGAATGTAAAATGCCATCTCCATCATGCTTTATTTATGGTGTGGCTTTTCTTTCGGAAAAAAAAAAAAGAGGCGTGGGAAGTGGGGGGAGAAAGAAAGAAGAATTTTGACTAGAGGCTGTACTGGACCCAGGCTGGTTCACATGGCAAGAGTCCAGTGAATGGATGACTCCAAAGAGAGGGCAGGTCTCAGTGCTCACCTTGCCAACGGCACCCTCATGCCCTAACTCAGCTTGCCTGCCCAATGTGGACAGGTTTTAAAACCCTTTGCTTGCCACTTCCTGCAGCTAGAAATCAAGCTGGTGCCCTCTCCACAAAAAGAGGACTGTGCAATATGTAAAATTCCTAAAGACAATTTTTATTTATAGCTGTTGCAAACAATGTTTATACAAAGTTTATTAAATATGTCACCCGCATTGATTTATCCCAACCAGTCTCTTCAATCACTAATATTTATGTGATGGGTTCAGTTGCAACAATTATTTTATATGCTGTAGAGTGTGTTATAACTAGGGATTCACCCTGGCAATTATATCAAAGATAAAATGCTTCCTGAGGACCTCGGGGCAGGCCAGGAAGTATATTATTGGACACAAGGTGGTTTAAACTGAATACCACAACACTAAATTTAGAGCAAGGAATGTGGAGCATCTGATGCTTAAAAATTAAAACAGGCTTCTCGGGGTTTCAGGAGTCCCCTCATTTCTGGGAAGGCAGCGATCACTCTTGTGTTCATTTTCTTGCCCACATTGAAACCTGAGGTCTGGAAATGCCTCCATGTCATCCGTGAATTTCTGTAGGCTGTAGCTCTCAGCAGCATTTACCTGGTGCCCAAAGTGGGCAGAAGAGCTACTCTTGGCTCTTACAGACACTGACAAAGGGAACCAGACACGTGCTATTTGCAGCAAGGAATTGGCATCTGCCGAGTGGTGGAGCGGCAGAAGCATTATTAACAAAGAAACCAGGGTTCACTAAAAAGCCCAAGATAACCATTGAAACTGTAAGATGACAAACCCAACAGGAACAGGAAAAGAAGAAGAAGAAGAAGAAGAAGAAGAAGAAGAAGAAGAAGAAGAAGAAGAAGAAGAAGAAGAAGAAGAAGAAGAAGAAGAAGAAGAAGAAACTTACTGAAAACCCACAGCTGAATGCTACTTCTGTTTCCTACAAAAGCCTAAATAGCCCTTTGTTTGGCAAAATTAACTTGACAGCCCCACTGTGGTTCAGAGTGTAAGGCCTGGGGCAAGATCAGAAGGCCTGAGCTAAACAAAGAAGCAGTTACAACTCTGTGAAGGAATGGACTGTGCTGGAGTGATGAGGTCCCTAGAAGAAGAAGAGGGAGAAAGTTTGGGGCTTAGGAAGAGCAAAGAGCTGGCCCTGGAGGAGGGGGAGAGGGCCAGGAAGATGCCCTGTACTTGTAAAGTTTGTGACCTTTGAGAGTGTGCCAGCATTTATCCAAATTTAGACGGCCCTCCTGTCTTATAAAGTCAGCCTTTTGGTCTTATTTCCCAAGTCTTTTACAAATTGGGAGTCTAAACAGAAATAAACAGTTACAGGAAAATAAATCATTAGCATAAGCAAACTGAACAGGTACTGGAAATAATCTAAGTCTCACAGAAGAGAGTGAATACCTTCTATCACCACTGCTGTCACAAAAAAATTGCTCTCACCTCAAAGGGAATAAGAAACAATTCATTCTGAAGCCAAATCTGAGGGACCACGGCCCCAGGGAACACATATTCAGGTTATTACAAGTTCCATATTCCAACATGGAAGCAGTTTCATGGAGCTTTTATTGTAACAGAACAAAGGTCAAAACCAAGGCATTTTAGAAAACAAAGGTCTAAACCGAGAGGTGGGTTACAGCCATTCAGAGGAATCTCAGCTACAGGCCTCAGATCAGGCAATATTTAGCCATTTTATTTGTAGAGAATTGGGTTTTCAGTTGCTTTTTTTTGTGTGTTTATCAGGCTATAAGTCCTGGTACAGAGTTGGGCAATGAATAGCTCTTTAGGGGCTAAAGATAACCCCAAGAAACTGTAAACAGGCTCTGTATCTGCAACATTCCAACTTCTCCACAGTCACTGACGTTTTAGTCAGTTAGCCTTTGTAGACACAGCTTCTTTCCAGAAATTCTCACCCACATCAGCTAAGCTGCTGTGTGACATTGCTGCAGAATAAGTTCTTGTCCTACCTAAGTTGTCTTCTCCTCTGACCCTGTCTTCTTTTCTGTTTGTTTTGTTGGGGAAGCGTTTCTATTTCTGCCAATGGAGGTCTAGAGATTTTTTTTTTGCACACACCACACTAGGGCTCACTTCCAAGGCCCTCCCATCTTGCAGCTCCTTTTGTGTTGAGCAGTCGAGCCACGGACACTGAGCATCTTGTGTTGGTGAACAACGGCTGGTCTTAAAAGTGAATTGTTTCCAAATACAACACTGTGAAACTAACTGTTCTGTGGCTGCCTCTGTTTAGGAAAGCCATTGCCATGAGCTTCATGGATCTGTGAACCATTTAGTAAGTTCATCTAGCCCTAAGCTTAGAGTTGAGTGCAAGAACACAGGGATGCACTGTTTGTATTTCTATAAAGGGAACTGAAAAGCCAACAAAGAGAGATACTAATCTTTCCTGTTTACTTCATCATCTGATGGAAGGTTGGGCTTCTATTTGCCCATTGGTATTTGAATTTATCCCTTATATACTGAGAGAACAGAGTTCTCCATGAGAAGCTTTTCACAGAACCGAAACTGAAAAGTTCAAGGGTCCTATTGTGTCTACAAAAGGAAGATGCTTATGAACAAAAGTATCTTTTTATAGTATTCTTGTGTGAGTCTTGATTGGTAATCGTTAACAAAGACTGCCTATTTGGTGGAGCAGTGTACAATGGGACCAAATTTAGGATAATATTGCTCACAGATTCTCCAAATGTCTGTGTCCTATAAGTCTATGATGACAGGGAATTTAGGGCCCACTTTATACAGTGCCTCTAAATTTTAGGATACATTGAGTCAAAAGTCTGCACTGCTATCTAATTCCCATGAGTCCTTGGTATATGAAATCTGGATGGAATTTCCTTGGAATTATGTATCTTAAGCCATGATAGCATTCAATGACTTCCAGATGCCTTGATAATGATGGTCCACTACATCAGGACTCACCACAGATTCTCTGCCCTTCTGATTGCCACTGTTTTGTATGGAATTTATGACTAGTAAAAATATTAACCTGCCTGTCTGCAACAGCCTCTGTATGAGACCTTCACTTAGTGCCCAGAAGGAGTCATGTATTCTTTTTACTGACACAGAGAAGTGTGAGTGACATCTGCCAAGTGCCAGAAAAATCAAACCAGAGCTATATTCCTGACACGCACCTGATCTAAAGTGCAGACTGAAGATTCCATGCACTAGAGATTGCCTATGCTTCCCATGGACATAGTGACCAAGCAGAAGTGGTCACAGGGTGTCCAGACCTCACGGTGCCACACCGGGCAAGGCTCTTCTTGTCCAAGTGTCCTTTGGTCTTTCTGCTGCTGCCCTGTGTGTGATCTCAGATGCAGCACCCCAGACCGCCACAAAACTAATTGTTCATGTGATTTCCTTTCTGAGCCACTGCAGATGTCCCTTTCTGTAACAATTTAATTAACACTTTAAAATAATGATGCATTAATTAATGCCAAATTACAATGAAAATCCTGGAGAATTACACTTTATATCAACATTAATGCAAAATGAGTTCCTCCTGGATAATTTTTCTTACAACGAATACAAAAAGAGATAATACTAATTAGGCCATCAATTTAAATTTACCATCATTTCAATCCATGTCATTTATCTGTTCCCTTGCACAAAACAATTGTGGCCTACCATACGTTTGCATAGGCAACAGGGATATCTGCTTAACAATCAGACCTGGGCCGTCTTTGGGATATTGTGATACGAGTTTGAAGTTTGCATTTTGTTTCTAAGTTATTAAAAACAGTTCATGTGTGCATACACTCTGTGTGGGGGCGTTGAGAGAGAAAGAAAGAGAGAAAAAGTTGAGAGAGAAAGAAAGAGAGAAAAAGATTTAGTTAAATAAAATTCTCTGGTTTGAATAAAGTAAACCATTCAGTCCTGTAATGTGCACGGCACAGGCATCAGGTTCTGCATATTAGGTTGCATCTAATTTGGTTTATCTCTGCTCTCAGGGTCAGGACTCAGGAGTTGGAAGGTTTGTACCATCCATGGGGTTATTTCTTCCTGAGCAGACATAAATCACACCTTCTCATCTTGCCAAGTGACACAATTTGGACCTGTTGCAGGCCATTGTCACTGCTTCTATTAGAGGATGCAGCAAAGGAGACGGGCTCCAGAGGTTAATTTTACAATGTTTCCTGAAGAAAGAAGAGTAGATGGTGATCCCTCTCACGTACCTGTCTTCTTTCTGAAGTGGCCCTTCACATTTGCCTTTCAAATTGAAACATACACTCAGGATTCAGAACACTCTGGATCTGAAAAATTTCTGACTTCTAAGTCAAAACACCCTTGACTAAATGTTTACACTAAATCATAAGGTTGAATCATATTTCGACCTTGGATAGCCTTTGAACTCTGTGTTTGTGGCCATTATATTTCATTTATTCTCTAATAGTGGCTTTTTTTTTTTACAAGAAACTTCAAGATGATGAGATTTTTTTTTATCTTTTGTGTTTAATAATCCCGACATATATTTTGCCAAAGTGCCCTGAATTCATGCATTTAATGCAATGGATATTTACAGTACATAAATGGGAATGGAAATTTGTGACCAGACCAAGAATCTTCCAAAACAAGAATCTCCAGCTTCAGACAGGAGAGTGACAGCCGAGTCTAGTCATGCTCCATGTACCTCCAGGACATTTTAGTAGTTCTGTTTCTCCCCTTAGCCAGTAGAGCTATCCACATGTCCCCTTTAAAGATCTTTATTGTTTTGCTTCCCCATGTTTCGAATCTGCTATGGAAATTTCTGCTTGCCCAGGTGGTCTCAAAGTAAGTAGGCAATGAGCCTAAATGAAGTCTGGCAGAAAGAAATTAATTTTAAAAAATCAATAAACTCTGCCTTTGTTTTTATTCAGCTTTAGGGGAATACATATCAGTGACATTTACCTTGGACTATGTCTCCATGCCTGTAAAAACAAGAGGATGGCAGAGCAGATCAGGTGGCATAGGCCATCCATTCCACTTCCTTGGTCTGGTTGACGGCCAGGCAAGAGATGATAGAGACCATTGAAAATTTGACCTGGAAATACTGTCCAGCATCTTATAAGTATCCATCAGGACATCAGAATTGGACAACCCAGTGTATGCTCTCAGGATGCACCTGTGCACTTTGTTTGGTGAGCATCATTTTTACTTCAGATTTCTTGGGGCAGTAGCAGAGATGAAACAGCACATAGTCAGGACTCAACTCATTACCTCAAGTAATGTTTGATTAGAATTGTTTTTCTTTTAACACTAGATCTCCATCCTGTCCCTTACCATGAAATAACAAAAATGCTCTACAAGCTAAAGGGCAGTTGAAGGTGGGACTGTTAAATGGGCACATGAGCAGGTCACATGTGGAGAATGAATGATTTCAAGCCAGTTCTTCGATAGTCTCTCAATATGATTATTATAAAAGGAGCTGTTTAGTTTATTTCTCACAATGAATATAATTTAATCTTTTTAGTTTCAGGTTTATTTTGAAATGGCTGGCCAGTATTTCTCAAATACTGGAAATAGCAGCTGCCAATGAAAAATGTCCATCTTCTTTATTGACTAATATTCCTAAGTTTCTCTACCCACAGAGCCTGCAAGAACTATGGGTCCTGGTGATCAAATCTCAACCTTGGAACTCACAGGAATTCATACCCTAGCATTACTTTGGGTAAGCTTCCTGTCCTTCTCTATAACTTCAGCTGTCACATCTACAAAGTAGAGATGATAACACAAGTGGTGTTGAAAGCTGAATAAAAGTGCTTAAAAGTGTTTTACACACTATATCTGGGCTCTGTTGAGTATTTGTAAATTCATTTGTTGGTTCTGCCAATATAGATGGCCAGTCTCAAGGTCCTGGCAGGCTAAGATGACAGAGACAATCTCTAACCAGAAGAATGTCACAGGGTAGGGGATCCTTCAGGTATAAAAGTTGGCAATTAAAACATATTGTACTGAAATATATCTATGACCAAAATGCTGTACAGTGGAAATCACAAAATATAAGTGGAGAGTGACTGGGGATTCGGGGAAGCATCTATAATCTATATTAAAAGGAAACCCAGCAAAGAACAAACCCAAATCTATCATAAGCAACAAGAGCAGAGATAGGAAAGAGGTGGGTTCGTTGTATGAGAAATATTCCAGTATAGCTGGAGATGACACACCTGATTTCATAACAGTCTCTTTATGAAGACATCAAATTGAACAAACAAGATTAGGTATAAAAGATTGATCAATATATTTATTTCAATGTATAATTCTGGCCATTTGGCAAGCCCTAATGACTTACACATGCTGTTGCACAGGACTTATCCTAGAGAATCTGGCATGGATATGAATCAATATTGCATTTTCAGCTTCTGTAGTCCATCAAGATGGAAAATAAGAAGGACTACTACTGGACATTCTGTCCAACAACAGTCCCAGCAACAATAAGAGAAAAATGAGAAACAGGCTCCAGGGGAAAACAGTATCACAATACTGTGCGACACCAGTGTGGGAGCATGCAGGAGATCTGACTTTTGAGTCTGTGGCATTGGCTGGATACATACAAAAAAGCATGAGTGACATCACCAGAGGTACAGGGTGACTGAATATGGATGTGAAAACAGGAACTGCAGGTGACAGTTTTAATTTTTGTTTTGATCTTTCCTGCTACCATGTACAGACCATGAATGCCTGATGTTTAGCTGTTGGCACAGACTTTGGGTATCTGGATCTGAGATATAGATCAAGGTGAGATAGCAAAAGTTCCCAAGGGACAAAGAATTATGGGTGAACAGATTCCTGCACAGCCGCTATCTTCACTCAGTCATGTGCATTTCCATCTGAGCCCCACGCCTGGTGGACTCTTCCATTGGCTTTGCTACCAAGGGAAGACTTCCTGAGAGGACTTTCTTGGTGGCGTTGCAGTCAAATAGAGTGGGCGACAACAACTGGGTGGTTATTTGCAGCTATGCTCTAGGCTCATACTTCCCTTTCATAGACTTCCCTGGTCTATCTGAAGTAGGACTTTAGTACCTCGGTTCTTCCACTGCACACACAACAGCAGAGTGGTAGATAACCAGAAAAAGACATGGGATTGTGGTCTGTAAGGATGTGTCTAACTGTTGCATTCATCAGCTTCATGGAATACATGCATTACGCATATCTCTGTGAATGCATGCTTAGGACAGATGAGGAGTCTAAAGCAAGTGTGAGACAAGTCCATGTAATGAGGAAATAGTTGCAAGGGCGATGATATGGTAGAGTTCGATGGACACAGCCAAAGAAACAGTTAATGAACTAAAAGATCAGACTGAGAAACTCTCCCTGACGGTAGAAGGAAAGAATAAAGAGGTGGTACCCAAGAAAACAAAGTGGTATAGAAGACAGAACTGTCATTATCTGAAGTCCTAGGAGGAAGAGAAAAATATGATGAACTATTTAAAGAAATAATGGGGAGAAATGTCCCAGCTGTTTTGAAAAGTGAGAGACCCAAGAATGAGTAATTATAGAACACCAAACAAGAGAGGTAAAGAAAATTCACATGGGGAGTAAATAATTCAGACAAAAAGTAAATAAGAGCTGCTCCCTTGTCATCAGGATGAGAATGGGATAGACAGCAGGCCCCTTATAGCTGCTTTGGAAGCAAATAAAAAAAAGTAACATTTTTAAATAGTGAAAGAAAAAAATTGAAAAAAAAAGTAATTATGAAGATGTTTTCTGTGGCATTGCTTGTAATAGCAAACATTGCAAGTGACCTTCATGCCCATATCATGGCACATAGGTACTCAAAAATTCTCATGAAGAAATATCTAAGACAATACACAATGAATTTACAATAACAACACTGCCCTGAAAATAGCAGAGATTCTGCATAGAAGCAGGGTGGTCCCATTTTTATTTAAGTGGAAAGACTGGGAGAATATAAAGAAGTGTTCTAGCTTTTCTTTCATGAACTATGCGTAACATTTTGCATACTCTATTACCCACATCTTCTCTATTGCTTTCCCTGCTCTATTTGGGGGCAAACAATTATACTTAGTAAGTATAATTCTTCATTAATTCAAGGACAGCTACTAATTGGGAGTGATTTTAGACTCCAGGAAGCTCCTGCAGAGGTCTTGGTGAGGTGTCATAACTCTGCCTAATGCAATGGCAAGAGAATGGTTCCCGAAGGATGTATTGCATTGACGCTCAAGAAAAACTGCCAGGAACCGGTTAGCAATCAGGCAGGGGATATGCCAAGGATGTCTCTGAAGTTTCTAGCTTCTCTGCCCTATGAATTATCAATTCCTAAATTTAGTCTTGAAAGCATGGTTAGTTCTTCCCTTCTAGAGGGATGTTGTGATACAAAAGGCAGATATTTATACCATGCACCCAGCAGCTCCGGCTATGAAAGCACTTCTGAGCCGATTTGTAGATTTGTTCCTGTGCCCACATGGCGAGCCACAGATATTTTATTTTCAAGAAAAACATGTTCTACAAATTCTTTCCCCACCTGTGTCATTAAGCAAAAGCAACTCTGCTTTATTCTCCACTAACCTCTGCCTGAGATTTTTTGAATACAGGTTCAAAGGCACATTCCATGAATATAGCTTTTCCCATGTGTGTTGAAACCTGCTGGCAAAATATGTGTTATTTCATACTCCTATGGAAAAATGGGCCAAGGCTAGACAATTCACAATAGAAACATAGAAGCAATATCCCTACGAAAAAGTGCTCAACTCATAAAAAGTAAATCTAGTTCTAAAATGCCAAATACTCTTCTATAAAGATGGAGCATGGCCCTGTAAGAATGTTGGTGAGAAAAACATCTTCCTATGGGGCCAGTACACTTCCTGAAAACATCATCACCAAGTCTACAGAAATCAAAAACTATCCTTTTCTTCCAGCCCAGATTGGTAGAAATCTACAATAAAGCAATAACTAGGTTTGTAGTTAAGGATTAGTTGGTGTTTAAAGATAAACAATAGGAGAGTGACTAAGTAAACTGCATACCTACTAAAACGCATTTATAAAGCATTCAATGAGGCTGATGAGTTGGTTTAGCAGGTTAAAGTACTTGCTTCCAAGCCTGACCACCTGTGTTTGATCCTTGAAATCTATGGGATGGACACAGAGAATCAATTCCTGAAAGGAATTCTCTGACCTTCATGTGCATGCCATAGGGTGAACACATACATAGAGCTACACCATATTAATTAATGAATAATATAATTTAATTTTTTATTTTACATCCCAGTCACAGTGCAGTTTGCTCTCCCTCCTCTCCTCCCAGTTCGTTCCCCCACCCCACTCCTCTGTTTCCACCCCCAATCCACTCCTCCTCTATTTCTGTTTAGGAAAGTGAGGTCTCCCATGAGTATCAACAAATCATGGCATATCAAGTTGCAGCAAGACTAAGCTCCTCCTCATGTATTAAAGCTGGGCAAGGAGACTCAGTACAGGGAGGAGGTCAAAAAGCCAGTAAAAGAGTCAGAGACAGCCGCTGTTACCACTGTTAGGAGTCCTGCAAGAGGACTAAGCTACACAACTGTAACATTTATGCAGAGTGCCTAGGTCAGTCCCATGCAGGCTCCCTTGTTGTCAGTTCAGTCTCTGTGAGCTCCTAGTAGCCCAGGTTAAGTGATTCTGTGAGTTTTCTTGTGGTGTCCTTCACCCCTCTGGCTCCTACATCCTTTGTCCTCCTCTTCTGCTGGATTCCCCAAACTCTGCCTAACATTTGGATGTGGGTCTACATCTGTTTCTATCAGTTGCTGGATGATGCCTCTCTAATGACAGTTGGGCTAGGTACCAATCTATGAGTATAGCAGGATATCATTAAGCATCATTACACTGACTTTTTTTTTTGCCTCCTGTCATGTTTTGTTCTATTCTAGGTCTCTGGATCATCCAGCCTGAGGGTCCTGGTGCTCTAGGCAGTGTCAGGGCTTTTAGGCGAGACGAGTCATTGGTTGGCCACTCCCTCAATCTCTAGGTCACCCTTCCCCCAGCACATCCCATCAGAGCAGACTGTAGGTTGAAAGTTATGTGGCTGGATTTATTTCCCACTCCCTCCACTTGAAGTCTTGCTTGGTCACAGGAGATGGCCAGTTCAGGCCATGTATTACTAGGAGTCTTTGATAGGATCATCTTTGTGGATTCCTGGGACTTTCCTTTGTACCAAGTTTTTAACCTAACTGAGGAATGTCCCCCTTTCCAGTAGTCTCTTTCAGTACTCTCCCCTTCTACTTCCTCCCAACCTGATGGTCCATGTTCCCATCCCCACCCACCCACAGTCCACTCACAGAGTTTCTTCTATTTCCCCTTCCCAGGGAGATCTGGGAGTCCCTCCATTAATCCTCCTTGTTATCTAATCTCTCTGGGTCTATGGATTGCCGCACAGTTACCCTTATTTTACAACTAATATTCACTTATGAATGAATACACACCATGTTTGTCTTTCTGGGTCTGGGTTACCTTACTTGGGATGATTTTTCTAGTTCCATCCATTTGCCTTCAAATTCCCTGGTATCCATGTTTTTAATAGTTGAATAATACTCCATTGTGCAAATGTACCACATTTTCTTTATCCATTCCTCAGTTGAGGGACATGTAGCTTGTTTCCAGGTTCTGGCTATTATAAATAAAGCTGCTATGAACATAGTTGAGCAAATATCCCTGTGGTATGATTGAACACTCTTT